CGGCTCCTTCAATTATTCTTGCAGTCGAAATAATATAACTCGCTCACAGGTTTATTTTTGTCGATGGAATGATGTTGGTGAACACGATTTTACCTTACGCTCACTTACAGGTCATCGTCGCCAATTTGGGAGTTAATTTGTTTATTTTTCAGTTTGTTTTGTTTTTTAGAGTGGTTTAATTGTTTAAAGCAGCCTTATGAATGCGAACACTCTAGATGAGGTCGAAAAATCTATAAAATTAGAAAAGTGTTTCAAAATTTGAACTTAACACTTAACACTTCTCTTTCTTAATTCTAATCAAATGGAATAATTAGGGGGGGGGGGGGGGGGTTTCGACTTCGTTCCATGCGGCGCATGCGAATTAACTTGTAGAAAATTGGGGATAAGAAGCGTAGGTTAAATCTAAGTAATCCTTGATGAAAATATTTGCCATATTTCATTTAATTCTTATTGGCTGTCTTTGGCATTTTTCCCACACGGTTTTTCCTCTGTTTTTTAATAAAAACCATTCACAAATTACAATTCAGAGAATGCTGTACAAATTCTACTCATTTAAAAGAGCATAATTTCAGTAAAATTAAACGGTAAGTTCAATTTGGTAAAAAAATTCTTAATAATTTGCTGAATTTTTAGCAAAAATTGAACCAAATGACCTAATCATTTGGTTCAATTTTTTCATTTTTTCATTAACAATCAGAAGAAAATATCGATACTTTTCTACATTTTGTTCTTTATTTTGAACATTACTATTTTTTATCTATGTCTTTGCAAAATTCTTTATTCGTTTGTTTTTATGTTTCGATAAGTTTTTTTTCCAATACATTCTGCGTCTAATAATAATTGATTAAAATATAATTGAAAATTTTTAAAATTGGTTTTTAAAAAAGCTGCAACGCAAAGTTGATAGTTCGACCGACTCTCGAAGAAAACCACGCAAAGTTAACGCTCAGCTTAGTGTTTTCTCTAGAAATTTTTGGCTTTTTGATTGGCTTTTTTTTAATAATCATTATGCTATGCAGGCACGGATCTAGAATTTTCTCGAGGGTGGCTTTAATTTTTTTCTAGGGAGCCTTTATGCCAATATATATTTACTTTGTTGTGGGAGAACGCGCCCAAAAAAAATCAAAAGATTTGTCCACTTTTTTTAGGTCCCAAATCTCATAAAGACCCTAATTTTAGGGCAAATAAAAAAAAAACAGGCCAATAAAGGCGCTTTTAGGCCCCTTTCGGATAATTTTGACCACAGTTTTTTTCGGCGCGCGCTCCCACTTCAAAGTTAAAATATATTGGCATAAAGGCTCCCTAGAAAAAATTTAAAGGTACGTGAGCCAAAAATGGATATACCAAAATAGTATTAAGGGAGGACCCTTTGGGCCCCCGCACTCAGAACAAAGAGAAACTAATCGATTATATTACAATTATAATTGTATTTTTATCAAAATTATAATTAGTTATAAGCGCCAAATTTAGATGTTTAAGCGACTTATAATCCATTATAATGATAACATTTTTCATGACATTATAATAAATTATAATCAATTATAATTGATTATAATTTTTTCGAAAATCTCTGATAATCTGTTATAATGTCTTGAGATGTCTTGCCACTTTTTGGTTCTTCTGAACACAAAGTTTTACCACGAAACAAAAGTTTCATAGAGATCCCTTCATATTAGTTGAAAGAATCCCGCGGTAGAAATATAACTCTTCTATAAAAATCATGAAACTAAAGCAGTGTGCTGATGTTTTGGTGGTCAAAAAAACTTAAAATGTGCATCATGAAACAATTATAATTAAGAAGAAATGAAACGAAATCATCATAAGTTTGAATTGGTTTGAAAACTGCTAAAACAATTTTCCCATTTTTCTCATAAGCCAAATATATATGCAATTCAGGTGGAAGGTCGAAGACAAAATGGGCAAACAAAAGGGATTATAAACAATTATTATCAAAAATAAGTTCGGATAAAAAATCGATTAAAATTTTTTATAATTGATTAGATTTGATTCCAAAAAGAGAAACTATAATCGATTATTAATTGATTAAAATCAATTTTTTCTCAATTATTGAATGAAAGGTACTAAATTCATATTGTAATAGATTATTAACGCTTGAAACTGGATGCAGGTTGGCAGGGAGTCGAATACCTGAGGGGGGGGGATGATTTTTGCGTCTGAGCCCTACACGCCCCACCTAAATCCGCTGCTGATTCTAAGTAAAAAAAATGATCTCCTGGAGTTTAATTTGTTTAAAAAAATATGAGCAATTAGCATAGGCGATTCTAGCTCGGAGCATTTTTGTGTGCGAGATAGTAAATTTTGCTACGTTTTCAGTAACCCGGGTATAATAAACTAGTAAACGAACAGTTTTCTTTTGCGCATTCAGGATAGTGCGCAGCACACCCATTTGTGATCACAAACATTCCGGTATCAATGCCCACTTTACATTTTTTTTCAGATTTTGGTCTGAATGAAAACCGCACTAAGAGTTTTTTTCAGCGCATTTTTGGAAATTGGAACAATTATATTCAAATTTTAATTTATTTTAGTTTACGGAAGAACTTGTAGATAACTTGAAAAAAAACTTGAGGCACCTAAAAACATAGTTGCAACTCCCAAGATTTTGCACTGATGCAAAAAGTCTCGTTGTGTTGATTTTCGAAAAAAGGAATTTACATTTCTGTAGTGATAATAGTAGGAAGACAATGTTGGTGGTCGAAATCATAGTTTTCAGCAAACAATTTCTATACCTCAATTAAAATATGATACCCTTGCACGTATGACGATTTTTTCCTTTAAAATTTTTTTGGTAAACTTCTGTAGATTTTTGACAATTGCCTTTTTGCCGAAGTTTGGACTGACTTTGAAGATTTTATATAAGATTCTGAAAACGTAACCCGACATATTCATGCGTAGCAATTTTTTCCGAGCTCAGTTTGTTCTAAACTAATTTGAGTTCTTGTAATGTTCAAACAAATTTGGTGACATAATTTATCATAATTGATCATTGAGAGGTTAAAAAAAGAACAGTTCAACGTTTTTAGTGTTCATGACTTTTTGACCAAAACTATTGGAGACAACAGTATGAGGCCAAGTTACGTGTTTGAAAAAAAAATTAAGCGGATTCCGCAACAAGCCGAAAAGAGATTTGCCGCCGATTCCGCAACATTACTGGTTTGCTGTAATCTACTTTGCTCTTATGAACAAACAGCTAAGACACTTAATCTCTCAAAATTGCTCCAAAACCAACTAGTTATGGGGCAACGGAATCCGCGACAAAAATAGTGTGCCTAGAAAATGTTCGTTATATGTTTTGAGCGCGGAATCCACTGATTTTTTATTAACTTTTTAATTTATAAGTCAGAGGCGGATCTTCAGAGGCAGAGGGGGGATTTTAAAAAAATGAAAATTTGGACGAATTTTTCTAGGTGGACCAAATTGATTTTCTGAGCTCTCCCAAATCACTTTAAAGACTGCGCGCTGACAAATATCTGAAAAAAAAAACAGGCTAAAAAGGCGTTTTAGGCATTTTTTGAAAAATTTTGACCAAAAAATAGAGTTTTTTCGGCGCGCGCAAAACCTCAAAATTATTATATATTGGCGCCAAAAGCGCCCTTAGAAAAATTTTAGGGTCCAGTCAGCTAAAAATGGATATTTCTCAAAATAGTACAAAGGGGGACCCTTTGGGTCGGCATGAGGTCGAATCCCTGAAGGGGATCCGCCCTTAATATGCAAAAAGTCTTTTTCAAATATAAACACGCAGTAAGTTTGCCTGATAATTGGAATAATTTTGTGCCTGAAAGCAAAATTCTTTCAAAAACGTTTTCGATGTTTTGGAAGGAATTTGAGCCTCAATTTAAGATCCGCTCACGCATCGAACATCCCACCTTCTAAATGATGAATGATGGAAGTTTTAATTTTTTTAATTGGTTCTATTAACAAATGCTGGCTGAAAGTTGATAAAGGGCAGGCCATAATTTGTTCGTTAATGAAGCAAATTCCTCTAAAAAAAGCTTCAAACAATTGTCTTTTTTGAGATTTTGTTTTCATCTATAGCGCTAAATGTTCCTCTAAATTTTGCTCAAAGTCATCTTTGTCAACTGCAAGTCAATTCAAAGCCCTCTTGTACTGTCCTCTGTAACCAACAAAATAAATTTGCTTACGTTTTAATTTAACGCTATCAGACTTGAAACTGATTGAAATTAATTAATATCCAAAAATTCTCATTTCTTATATGACAAAACAAAAATTCCTACTTCGGTTTATGCAATTGAGGTTCGAAATTCTAACCGAAGTATTTTTTTTAAACAAAAATAGCTTATAAAGCTTACAACATTATAATAAAACATTAATCAATAAATCATTTTGTGAGCCTCCTTTTTTCTCTATTTTTTTCTTATAGTTTTTTATCTACTTTTTTATTTTTATAGTTTTTTTCTCTACAGGATTTTTTGAATTTGCGATTCATCAGAAAAGATGACATATAACATTAGAATTACGTCAGAAGACGAAGAAGAAAAAGAGTTAGAGTGATTGAAAGAATGCGAAACGAAAATTAAAAGAAGGAAAAATTATTTAATATATGCTTATAAACACATAAATCCAAGGTGACATTCGATATCTAAAAAAGAAAAAGAATCCCGCATCCAGTTTCAAGCGTTAATAATCGATTATATTACGATTTTAGTACCAGTCTCACTAAAATTGAGAAACAATCGATTTTATTCAATTAATAATCGATTATAATCACTCTTTTTAAAATCAAATTATAATCAATTATAATCAATTATAATCGATTATAATCGATTTTTTATTCGTCTATTTTTCGATAAAATTATAATCGATTATAATTGATTATAATCCATTATTTTTATTCAAATTTTTATTTCATTAGTTTTGCACAAAAATCCATTATAATCGATTATAATTGATTATAATCCCTTTTGTTTGTCCATTTTTGTCTTCGAAGTTGCATCTAAATCGCTTATATTTTATGCTTTTTGTGGACATTGGTTTCTATAAAAAATGAGAAAAATATTTTAAAAGTTTTCCAATTGATTCAAAATTATAATTTTTTTTTTCATTTCTTCCCCATTAGGGTTGTTTTGTGATGCATATCTTAAGCTTTTTTAAACACCAAAACATCAGCAGACTGATTCAGTCTCATGATTGATTCGGAAAATTTATTTTTCATATACCGCGAGAACCTTTCCCTTCATATGAAAGGATCTCTATGAAACTTTTGTTTCGTGGTAAAACTTTGTGTTCAGATGAACCAAAGTGTTCAAGAGATCTCTCTTTTAGAGATTTTCTTACTGACACAAAATTAATAACCCATAGAATATAATTCGAATATCGCAAAATTTCGGCAAAATGAGAGATTATAATCGATTATAATCGATTATAATTGATTTTAAGGGTTTTTAGTAAGAACTGTAATCAATTATAATCGATTATAAGAGATTATAATCGCTTGGAAAATATCACAATTATAATCAATTATAAATCTCTTAAGGACCTAATTATGGTAATTATAATCGATTATAATTGTCAAAAAATCATCATAATAATCCGTTATAATCGA